ACACACACTTAAACACACAAACACACACACACACACTTAAACACACACGCGCTGCAAATGGTGCATGAAATCTCAAATGTTGTGCCATATGCACACCTCTCTCGCACGTTCACACGCACGTGGAAATAAACAGCTGCACCTAATACACGCCCCCTGACTCTGAACCATCATCATCATCATCATCGTCGTCATGATAATAATAATAATAATAATAATAATAATAATAATAATGATGATGATGATGATGATGATGAATCTTATTTCTGTTTCCTCAGACGCTGTGACGTCATGTTCGCGGCCTTCATATTTTACATGTAATCGATAATCATCAGGTTTTCCTCTGTGACGTGGACAATAAACGATGACGAAATTGAAACGCCCCCCTCGTGTTCCTCAACACGCCGGATTAGAAAGTGACAGCTGACCGTGGATCAGTGGAGTCCGGGGTTAAAACGTGATCCTGAACCTCGAGGCCTCAAAAAACTGTTTTCTTCTGCAGATGATTCAAAATCAGTTTCAGAGCAGCTCGATTCTCATTAGAGACTGTTTATTTATTTCTTATTTCAATAACTGAACTGCGCTTGATATTTCTTTTTTTATTCTGAACGAACGCTCATTTATTTTCTTTTTACGTTTTTACACTGCAGCACAAAATTCAACATTTGCTATTTATTCTCTAAAATATTCTCAGGTTTGCGTTTTGAAACTTTGCTCTCATCAGTTTTATTTCTATCGCCACATGTTTAATAATAATAATAATAATAATATCGACTGCACGGCAGCAACTTATTCATGATGTGTGATGCAATAACGTGTTTGCTTCGTCGTTGGGTTGTTTAGTTGTTATTTAACATTATTTATCATTATTATCATCATTAATATTGTTGTTATTATTGTTGTTAATATCGTTATTTATATTGCTGTCATTGTGAAGGTTATATTATTGTTATTATTGCTGCAATACAAACATATAAACACTGTATTGGTGCAGTCCTGTGTCACAGGTATTTTCCTACATGCAACATTTTCACTGGGTCTCAGTTTCTCTTCGTCCCATGCAGACTGAACGTGCACGGAGCTGCTGCTGCTCATGCTGCTGCTGCTCATGATGCTGCTGCTGCTCATGGTGCTGCTGCTGCTCATG